ATGGACCTATAATCCCGAGCTCCAATAAAATTAATAATTAATTAAACACTTTAATTAATTAATTAATTCTATTAATTCCAATAGTTACTCCACTATAAACTTGGAATTGAACTCTCGAAATTACATACATTAATTTCTTCTAAACCGCGAAGTGTCCATTTGATATAGTCATTACAAATAGATCAATCCTCCATAAATAATTTATAATTAGAGTCAGGTAGAATCCGTTAACCTCTCTAATTATATCTGCATCCTTGAGTACCATTGATTCTCTAATGGATAGTGATTCATAAAACACATTCATGAACCAGAGCGCTCTTACTAATCCAAGTACCGAATCAACACTCAAGAGAATTATTTATCTATTTCTTTCTCAAGAAGGAATGGATTCCATCTCGTACAATAACATTCCCAGCTACCTATTTCATTATGTCTCCAAAATACAAGGAATAGGATTCAGGGTCTTGGAATCCGTACCGAGCAAATCAAAAGACATAAATCCATAAATAAGAGTTTGTTAAGAACTCAGGATTAAGATCATCCTATATATGACCAACGGTATACTCAATTAGAATTTCTATGCTTAACGAAAATTATTAGAAATTCATATTGTGTCTGTGTCCTTGTTCCACATAATCTTATTATGCGAAATACACTTATTCAATATCTCGCCATATTAACAGTGCGGATAACACCGTTTCATTCTAAATGGGAATGACATGTATTAATAATGTTTTAATTAAAGATTCTGAACTTTAATTAAATTCATCATGAACAATGCTTTTGATTATTATCCTTACACACTATCCTCTCGTATATAACACTTATATACTATGTTTAAGGTTACATAAACAATCACAGAATTTTCATTTGATATTCATAAAATATTCATAAATATATGCACATAAAATGATGAATAAACTATTTTATTAATTAAATAATAAATATCCTATTACATCTCATGCTTCTAGGACACTATTCTCAACAAGAATGAGGGTGT